TTTTCCAATGATTTTACAGTCACACACTGCCATTGTCATGTCCTTCATTGTGTGCAAACATCTTACAAAAGGCAGAGCTGCCTGTTGAAAACTGATGCAAAGTGGTTATTGTTTTTATCTAATTTGTTTTTTTAATTTGTTATTTAGTTTGAATAAGTCTTCCTGATTTTTCTTAAGAGAGTGGGGTAGTTCCTGTTTTTTAGGATAATTTGTTAAGTTAGTTTGCCCATAATTTCAGTTAGAGTACAGTACGTGGGTATCATGTTACAATCCCACTACTTAGAGTTTCAGTATATATTTGTATGTTTTTCAATGAATTTAAGCATTCAGAAAGTCATCTTTTTACTTCTCAATCACTTTGTTATCTATCTCCATTTTTTCTATTCTTCTCCAACAAAATTGTGGTATCAGAGCACCAGGTTCGATTGGTGTTTTTTGTGAAGTTGAGACCATTGCTAAAGCAAAGGGATCTCAGAAGCTGTAGCTATTTTCATCATGGCCAGCAATTCAAATTCATTGAATTTGTCCCAATCCTTGGTACCCATATTCAATGGAGAAAACTATGTTTTTTGGAGTATTAAAATGAAGACCTTTTTTGTCTCACAAGATTTGTGGGATCTTGTGGAGAATGGGTTTGCTGAAACCGAGAAGTCACCAGCAGCAAAGGTGAAAGATCTTCGGAAGAAGGACGCAAAGGCATTGCTTGTATTGCAGCAAGCGATAACTGACTCAATCTTTCCTCGGATTGCAAATGCCACAAAGTCAAAGGAAGCTTGGACCATTCTGAATCAAGAGTTTTATGGAGATGACAAGGTAACAATTGTGAAACTTCAAACTCTGCGTAAAGAATTGGAAAACTTATGCATGAAAGGAAGTGAGTTAGTTCAAGATTTCTTTAGTAGAGTTTTTGTCATTATTAATCAATTGAAAACTTATGGTGATCAAGTTGATGATCGTAAAGTTGTTGAGAAGGTTTTGAGGTGTCTACCATCTAAGTTCGATCATGTTGTAGCTGCTATTGAAGAGTCAAAGGATTTCTCTGTTTATTCTCTTAATCAATTGATGGGCTCACTTTTAGCACATGAAGAGAGAATGAACAGGTTTGCAGAGAAGAACATGGAGCAAGCCTTTCAAACAAAGGTAGAGATCTCTAGCCAGGAGAAAAATGATCACAGAGGCTCTACTAGTAGAGGAAGAGGTAGAGGAGGCTACCGTGGCCGTGGATGAGGACAGGGGGGATCAAGCTCAACTCATCAAAAGTATGAGAATGGACAAAGAGGTAACTAGAAGCAGAATTATAAGTGGAAGCAATGCCATTTTTGCAAGAAACATGGGCACATCGAGGCAAACTGTTGGGAGAAGGCAAAGCAACAAGCAAACTTTGTTGAAGAAAAAGAAGTTGAAGAGAACTTGTTCCTCACCAGTTTAATTCCAAATGTCAGCAATTCTAACTTGTGGTTTCTTGATAGTGGATGTAGTAATCATATGACAGGTGTTAGAAGCCTTTTCCGGAATATCGATGAGACAGTGAAGCTGAAAGTTCGGCTTGGAGACAATAAGCAAGTGCAAATTGAAGGCAAGGGAACAATTGCAATTAGAACCAAGTCAAGTATCGAATCGAAAAGTTGATTCATGATGTTTATTACATACCTAACTTGGCACATAATTTGCTTAGTGTGGGTCAGTTGGTAGAGAATGGGTATTTGGTTGAATTTCATGATGGCTTGTGTGAAATCAAGTGCAATAAATCTGATATGTCTCTTGCTAAGATTCCCATGGCTAAAAATAAAATGTTTCCACTTGAGATCTCATGTTTGAATGACCTTGCACTTGTTGCAAATGTTAAAGATGACTCCAAGTTATGGCATATGAGATATGGGCATTTGCATTTTAATGGGTTGAAATTGTTGAGTCAAAAAAAGATGGTTTATGGTTTACCCTCTATTATTCCTATTGATGATGTTTGTGAAGGTTGTGTTTATGGGAAGCAGCACAAAAATGCATTTCCAATTGAGAAAGCATGGAGAGCAAAGGAGCCTTTGGAGTTAGTACATGCTGACATTTGTGGGCCAATGAGAAATTTGTCTTTGAACAAGAAGAAATATTTTTTATTGTTCACTGACGATTTTTCTCGTATGAGTTGGGTATTCTTCCTTGTTCAGAAGTCAGAAGCTCTTGGGAAATTTCAAGAATTCAAAGCTTTTGCAGAGAAAGAATGTGGCCATCAAATAAAAATTCTTCGAACCGATAGGGGAGGAGAATTTTTATCTAATGAGTTCGGTAGTTTCTGCAAGCAAAATGGGATCAAGAGGCAACTTACTGTAAGAAGAACTCCATAGCAGAACGGGGTTGCTGAAAGGAAAAACAGAACAGTTGTGGAGATGGCAAGGAGCATGTTAAATGAGAAGAAACTTCCACAAACCTTCTGGGCTGAAGCAGCTGCTACTGCTGTTCATATTCTCAACATTTCTCCAACAAAGGCAGTGCGAAATATGACTCCATATGAAGCATGGTGGAAACGGAAGCCCAATGTAAGTAGTTTGAGAGTTTTTGGTTGCATTTCTTATGCCATGATAGCTTCTAATGATCGTACAAAGATGGACCAGAAAAGTGAGAAGTGTATTTTTGTTGGATATAGTTGTGAGTCCAAGGGTTATCATTTGTATAATCCTATTACTAAGAAGCTGATTATTTGTAGAGATGTTTTTGATGAGAACAGTGCATGGGAGTGGAATGAAGGAAAGATTCAGCACTTGTCATATGAAGAAAGTGAATCCAATGAGCCACAAGCAGAAGAGACGGAGTTGGCTAACAATCTTCTCCTACACTGAGTTCTCCAACAAGGTCACCACAATCTGCTCCAACTCCTCAACCTCGAAGGATGTTCACTAGAAGCATGTCTGGTGCCATTCTTAGGAAGGAAAAACCTTGGGAGCAAGTTTATGACCTAGATACTTATGCACTTCTGGTGGCAGAACCTACTTGCTATGATGAGGCATATGGAAAACAGGAATGGGAAAATTCCATGAAGGAGGAGATAGATTCGATTGAGAAGAACAACACTTGGGAGCTTGTAGATAAACCAGAAGGGAAGACTCCAATTGGTGTGAAGTGGGTCTATCGAGTGAAGTATAAAGCATATGGGAGTGTGCAAAAATATAAGGCAAGACTTGTGGCCAAAGGCTATGTGCAGAAACATGGTATTGATTTCCTTGAAACTTTTTCTCCTGTTGCTAGATTTGAGACTGTTAGATTGGTGATAGCATTAGCAGCTCAAATGAAATGGAAAATTTTTCAGTTTGATGTTAAATCTACTTTCTTGAATGGTTGGTTGGAAGAAGATGTCTATGTTGAGCAGCCTGAAGGATTCATTGTTCAAGGCAAAGAAGAAAAGGTGTACAAGCTCAAGAAAGCTCTTTACGGACTCAAGCAAGCCCCGCGAGCCTGGTATGGTAGACTTGATTCATACTTGCATGATAATGATTTTCATCGAAATGAAAATGAGCCCACTTTGTATGTGAAGGTGAAAGGAGGTGATATTCTCATTATTTGTGTTTATGTGGATGATATTATTTACACTGGTTCTTCTAACATTCTTATTGAAGAATTTAAGAAGAATATGTCTGCTGAATTTGACATGTCTGATTTGGGGCTACTGCATTATTTCCTTGGGTTACAAATTTACCAAACTGATTATGGTATTTTTGTTTCACAAGAGAAGTACGCATTGGATTTGCTGAAAAAATTCAACATGCAGAATTGCAAGATGTCTGCTACTCCTATGAATACAAATGAGAAGTTGACAGTAGATGATGGAACTCCAAGAGCTAATGAGAAGTATTTTAGAAGTATGGTTGGCCGATTAATGTATTTGACTCACACAAGACCTGATATCATGTTTTCAGTTAGCTTGGTTTCAAGGTTCATGCATAATCCCTCTGTGCATCATCTTGGAACAGCAAAACGAATTCTCTGTTACATCCGAGCAACAAGCAACTTTGGAATTTGGTACAAGCTAGTGCCTAACTTTAAATTGCTTGGTTTTATTGATAGTGATTGGGCAAGTTCTGTAGATGACAGAAAAAGCACAAGCGGATATATATTTAATCTTGGCTCGGGTGCTGTATCTTGGAGTTCAAAAAAGCAAGAATGCACTGCGTTATCTTCCTCTGAAGCAGAATATGTTGCTGCTTCATCAGCTGCTTGTCAAGCAATTTGGATGCGAAGGATTATGAAAGATTTGCAGCAAGTTCAAGAGAAGGCAACAAAGATCTTCTGTGACAACAAAGCAACAATTTTAATGACCAAGAATCCAGTGTTTCATGGAAGAACAAAACATATTGAGCTGCGTCAACACTTTATCCGAGGTGCTATTGCAGATGGATTAATTGCTTTGGAGTATTGTTCAACAAGTGATCAACTCGTTGATGGATTTACTAAAGGACTCTGTTTTAGTAAATTCATGGAGTTCCGTAACTCACTTGGAGTTGCAGAGTTTGCATCAAGGGGGGATGTTGAAAACTGATGCAAAGTGGTTATTGTCTTTATCTAATTTGTTTTTTAGTTTGTTATTTAGTTTGAATAAGTCTTCCTGATTTTTCTTAAGAGAGTGGGGTAGTTGCTGTTTTTTAGGATAATTTGTTGAGTTAGTTTTGATCATAATTTCAGTTAGAATACAGTATGTGGGTATCATGTTACAATCCCACTACTTAGAGTTCCAGTATATATTTGTATGTTTTTCAATGAATTTAAGCATTCAGAAAGTCATCTTTTTACTTCTTAATCACTTTGTTATCTATCTCCATTTTTTCTGTTCTTCTCCAACACTGCCGCAATCAACACATACCGGAACTTGATAGGTTCATCTGGAGTAATGGCAAAGATCGCCGACCCATAAGTTATCAGCAATGAAATGGCTGCCAT